CTGGACAGTGTCCAGGCCCAGAGTTCAAGCCCCACGACCAACTACAACAACCCCCCCCCACACCCCTCACACCCACCCACAAAGTTTTCATATCTAAAATGATCACAGACTGTAGGAGCTCATGCCTGTGATCCTAGCAACTCAGGAGGCTGAGAGATGAAGATCACAGTTCGAAGCTAGCCCACACAGGAAAGTCTATGAGACTCTTATCTCCAATGACTCAGAAAAGCCAGAAGTGCCACTGTGGCTCAAGCAGTAGAGAGCCAGTTTTGAGCAAAAAGAAGCTCAGTTACAGCACCCAGGTCTTGAATTAAAGCCCTAGGACTGGAACAACAACAACAACAACAACAACCCAAAACAAAAAAGCCAAGTAAAAGTACAAGGCCCTGGGTTCAAGCCCCAGTACGCGCAAAAAGAAAAAAAAAAACTGTAAAACATCGGTGTGTGTGTTTAATACCCTTGGTAGAGTGGCAGCACTGTCATTTTCCTAGAGCTACCTTCAACTATTTCCTTCAACTATTTCGTTATTTTATATTAAGCTACTTCCATAGACTCTAAAAATAAAAAAAAAACAAAGAGCCAACTATTAGCCTTGGATATATGGTTAGGCACAATTTAACTTGGCCAGATTTGGCAATAATCCAAATGAACAATAGCCTAGTAAATTCCTGAAGCCCCTCTCTAGCTGTCATTATTTATCTGTGCAATAAACTGGGAGCTCAGACTGATATTCTTATTACCACAGGACAGTGAAATCTGGTATCTGAAAGGTTAAGGAGCTTGCCTAAAGTCACATTATGATTGGGAAAAGAGCGAGGAAGAGATCAAGATTCCCAATTCTCAATCCAGTACTGTTTTTACCTTTTACATATTTTCTCATGACAATTACGGCAGCAGTGTTCTGAAGAGCAGGGCTTGGGATGAATGCCGTGGGATGTGTCCTCTCTTACATTCTAATGGTCATCCTCATAAATCCTACCTTCTACTACTCTAGGGTGCCTCTGTTACACACACACACATACACACACACACACACACACACAAATAGACCAGCACAATAAAACAAAACAAACAAGGGAAAAATCCAAAATAAGCAGGTGCTCTGTCCCTAAGCTTCTTGAGAAAGTTTCCAAATACCTAGATTCTTCTCTCTCTCTCTTTTTTCAGTTTTGCCAGTTGTGGGGGTTGAACTCAGCACTGTGGCTGAGCCTCTATGTTCAAGGCAGTATTGTGCCACTTGAGCTACAGCTCCACTTGCTTTTTTTTTTTTTTTTTTTTTGAGTGGTTAATTGTAGATAAGGGTCTCACGGGGACCTTTCTGTCCGGGCTGGCTTCTTCATGCTGAGATACTCAGATCTCAGCCTCCTGAGTAGTTAGGATTACAGGTGAGTCACCAGTGCCTGGCTAGATTCTTCTGTTTTAAAGAGTAAAAGGACAGGGCGCTAGTGGCTAACAGTTGTAATCCTAGATACTCAGGAGGCTGAGATCTGAGGATCGTGATTCAAAGCCAGCCAAGGCAGGAAAGTCCGTGAGACTCATCTCCAATTAATCACCAGAAAATCAGAATGGCACTATGGCTCAAGTGGTAGAGTGGTAGCTTTGAGCTGAAGAGCTAAGGGACAGCACCCAGGCCCAGAGTTCAAGTCCTATGACCAACCAAAAATAAAAAAGTAAAGGGGGTTGGATATTATGCCTAAGGTTACATCCAGGTTTGGTATACATATTTAGTAAACAAAATAAATAGCCAAACCTATTTTTACTCAACTGAATGTTCATAACTAAGTAGAAAGAGAAAGCTGTAAAGTACACTCAGTGGACAAATGGATCTGCCAAATGTTGACACAAAAGGATTTCCATGAAGCCTCCTGTGAAGCTATAAGCATTCATTCAGTAAATCACATTCATTCATTCATAGTGTGTCCACTATATGTGATATTGTGAGTACACAGGAGTAAATCGAAAAGACATATAAATCATTGTTCTCATGGATTACAGAGTCTGTCAGAGTAAGTGAATATTAAACAAGGCCTTATTTCATTGCAGTGGGATGTACTGCCACAAGAAATAGTATATGACAATCTCTGCGGGAGATATAAACTCCAATGGGGGGGTGGGTGGAGAAACATTCCTAAAGCTATTACGATAAACTGAGACCTGGAGAAAAGGCGTGTATTACCCAGGCAGCAGTGGGTATAATGACCCTCACTCTCATTATACCTGAGGACAAGGCCAGTTGGGCTGGCTCAAGAGAAGACAGAAATACAGAGCATATAAAGACTCATTTTGAAAAATTAAGAAATTAGCTGAGTGCCAGTGACTCACCCCTGTAATCTTAGCTACTCAGAGGCCGAAATCTAAGGATCATGGTTCAAAGCCAGCCTGGGTAGGAAAGTCCATGAGACTCATCTCCAGTTGACCACCAAAAAAGCTAGAAGTGGAACTGTGGCTCAAGTAGTTGAGTAGTAGTCTTGAGGGGGGAAAATAAGCTCAGGGACAGTGTCTAGGCTTTGAGTTTGAGTCCCAGGACCAGTACAAAAAAATTAAAAAGTTTAAGAAAATTCTCCACATTTCTATTGGTGCATTGTGAAGGGTTTCATTATGATACATGCATATAATATGTTCTGATCATACTCATTCCCACTGTTACTCTTTCTTTTTTTCTTTCTTATCCCTCTCCTCCACTCTTTCTAATGAAAATAGCAGGAGCTAACCTGGAACCTATATTAGTAGATTAAAAGGGGAAATCTAGCACCTGTGGCTTACACCATAATCCTAGCTACTTAGGAGACTGAGATCTGAGAAAGTTTGAAGTCAGCCCAGGCAGATAAATGGAGAGACTCTTAGCTCCAATTAACCAGCAAAAAGCTGGAAGTCAAAGAGTATGGTAGAGCAGCAGCTATGAGCAAAACAAACAAGGGAGAGCTAGAGGCTCTGAATTCAAACTCTATTACTGGCACACACAAAAATAGAGCAAACAGACTAAGAGAATAGCACCAAGCCTTGAATATATGCCTGTGCAGTTGTATAATGGCAGTTACTGCTGCTAAGTAAAGGAAGTTTTTGAGGCATTTACTGTAAGGTAGTACACATGTTCATTATGAAGCTTTACTACTTTCTACTGTCATCTTTGACTCATTTTCTGCTTGATCTCCAGTGCTTACTGATGGCTTGGTTCAGGCTGAGGCTCTTGATAAACTTTTCCTGAATTAATAGATGGTGATATTAGCTATTGCTGGTAGGCTGGGTTAAGCATGTACATTTGGACTGAGTATGATCTAATAAAGTTACCCATTGAAACATGAGCCAGTGGCTCATGCCTGTAATCCTAGCTACTCAGGAGGTTGAGATCTGAGGATCACAGTTCAAAGCCAAACTGGGCAGGAACATCCATGAGACTCGTTTATCCAATTAACCACCAGAAAACTAGAAGTGGCCCTGTGGTTCAAGTGGTAGAGCACTCTCCTTGAGCTGAAGAGCTAAGGGACAGTGCCTAGGCCCAGAGTTCAGGCCTCATGACTGACAAAAAACAAACAAACATGCGATTAGATTTTTTTTAGTATATTTACATAATTGGGCATTTATAGGCTTTTTTTTGGGGGTGGGGTCCGGTCATGGGGCCTGAACTCTGGGCCTGGGCACTGTCCCTCAGCTCTTCAGCTCAAGGCTAGCACTCTACCACTTGAGTCACAGCGTCACTTCCGGCTTTTTTCTTTTTGCTTATGTGGTGCTGAAGAATCGAACCCAGGGCCTCAGGCATGCAAGGTAAGCGCTCTACCACTGAGCCACCTTCCCAGCCCTTATAGGCTTTTTTGCCATAGTTTTTTTTTTTTTTAATTTTAATTTTTTTGGGTCCAGTTGTGGGGCCTGAACTCTGGGCCTAGGCACTGTCCCTCAGCTCTTCAGCTCAAGGCTAGTGCTCTACCAGTTGAGCCACAGCACCACTTCTGGCTTTTTTCTTTTTGCTTATGTGGTGCTGAGGAATCGAACCCAGGGCCTCATGCATGCAAGGTAAGCGCTCTACCACTGAGCCACCTTCCCAGCCCCTTTGCCATAGTTTATAACAGCACACTCAATGTGCAATCTTGGAGTGTGCAGTAAGAGGATTATTGAACCTGTTTTTTTTTTTTTTTTGTCGGTAGTGGGGCTTGAACTCTGGGCCTGAGCGCTATCCCTCAGCTCTCCAGCTCAAGGCTAGTGCTCTACCACTACAGGGCCACTTCCGGTTTTCTGGTGGTTTATTGGAGATAAGAGTTTCACTGACTTTCCTGCCCGGGCTGGCTTTAAACCACAATCCTCCTGAGTAGCTAGGATTACAGGCGTGAGCCACCAGTGCCTGGCTTTGTGTTCTTTTTTTGTTGTTGTTAGTTGTGGGGCTTGAACTCTGGGCTTGGGCGCTGTCCCTGAGTTATTCAGCTCAAGGCGAGTGTTCTACCACTTGAGCTACAGGGCCATTTCTGGTTTTCTGGTGGTTAATTGGAGATAAGAGTCTCATGGATTCTCCTGCCTGGTCTGGCTTTGCACTGCAATCCTCAGATCTCAGAATCCTGAGTAGCTAGGATTACAGGAATGAGCCACTGGCACCTGGCTGGAACCTATGTTCTTTTTTTTTTTTTTGGGGGGTCTGGTCGTGGGGCCTGAACTCTGGGCCTGGGCGCTGTCTCTCAGCTCTGCAGCTCAAGGCTAGCGCTCTACCACTTGAGCCACAGCGCCACTTCCGGCTTTTTTCTTTTTGCTTATGTGGTGCTGAGGAATCGAACCCAGGGCCTCAGGCATGCAAGGCATGCGCTCTACCACTGAACCACCTTCCCAGCTCAGAACCTATGTTCTTTAATACCAAGATGCTCTCTTTTTCAGGCAGCCAAGATGAATTATTCATGGACTAATGTCATGCAAGGCAGGATTATACACTTACAATCACAAGGCATTTTTCTTCCCAGCATTTCACAAAACACCGTTTCTGTCTGTTTCCCATAATAATTCCATCCTGGATGCCTGCTTACCCGTTTGTCAATGTCATTGTGTTGAAGTTGCACAAAGCGTGCACTGATGGCTGCAATGTAACTCTGCTGATTGGAGAACGCCACGCGGCCAGCACCTTTGGGGTACTTCAGCTCTGGGTCCGTATCAATGCCAGCATAGCAAACACCACCATACAAACGGTCCATGATCATTGCCAGTTCAACTGCAAGAAAGTAAACATAACTCTGTGTCAATATTTGGAGGAGGATTGTTCAATGGAGTTAAGAAAAGGAGAACCTGAGTCAAGTATCATGAAGAAGGTCCACATCAGTCTTGCTATTCATAAGATATTTAAAAAGGAAAAAAAATAAAAGCATTTACACAGAAATACCTAAGAGTTCTCATAATCAGAACTTAAAACAATATAAAAGGGGCAATCAATCAGGAATTCTCCTTTTCTAATGTCATTATTATTATTATTATTATTTTAATGAGTGTTTATCCTGGAGCTTGAACTCAGGGCCTAGGTACTGTCCCTGAACTTTTTTGTTCAAACCTAACTTTCTATCACTTGAGTCACAGCTCCATTTTTTGGGAGGGGTACTTAACTGGAGATGAGTCTTTCAGACTTTCCTGCCAGGATGGGCTTTATACTATGATCCTCAGATCTCAGCCTTCTGGGTAGCTAGGATTACAGGCAGAGCTATCAGCACCCAGCTTCCTTTTCTAACCTCTAACTGCATTTGACTGGAAGGGACCATGGGTAGGGAAAGCATTTTATGATTCCCTAACAAGTTTTAAGAAACAATTCTTCTTACTGGCCTCTAAGACTAAAATCAGTTATGAATGTCAAACCACTGTATTAGGAATAACCTATAAAATGAATCAACTGTTTTTATCTAGAGATAGTATGTTTACATCTGATAGATCTCCACAGTAACCTCTCACATTGCATTTTAAATAATACTAGTGCTGAAAATAGCAGCAATGGACATTTATCAAGCAGTTACAGTATGAAAATGAAGCACTAAACTGCTACATATGCAGTAACAACCCACTCATCTTTCACCTTGCTGGTCTAGTCTGCACTTGCCATACATCCTATTTTTATATTGGTATGCTTACAAAATACTTATAGAGAAGACATGTAGTACTTACCTGCACTGCAAATTGCCTGAAGGCAATCATTTACTCCAAACTGGATAGCACCTCCTCCAGCTAGGGCTACTCCTTTCAGGCCATAGTATAAAACCAAAAGATTCAACCCTACGGCTGGAAAGTGGCTCAAACACCTGTTTTTCTCTAACACCTACATACAATATTTGGGAAGAAGACAGAGAAGATAGATGATGACTTGAGTCCCGGCTAATGTGAACACACCATGACACAGGAGAACTCCTCAGTAATCTGTTCTGGGAGACAAAGAGCACCCCAGCCTGATGTGGCAAGGGGAGAGTTTGTAGCAGATACAAGGCTGACCAGTGTCAGGACATACTTTGACCCCACACCAAGATTGCTACAAATAAAAGGAAAGCTAAGAATTACTAGTTTCTCCAGTACAGAACTGCAGATGCAGTAAGTAAATGCTATTAAAGTCACGGCACCACAAAGCCAGGCCATCTAGCCCATTATGGTCAGAATTACTGACTCATGTAAACCAGTAGAGCTAAGTGGACTCTACTACAATTTGGGGCATTCATTTGAACAATGCAGTAAGAACTGTGCTTATATCCAAACTATCAAAAGTTCCGGGGTTCCTCATACTTCATCCTAACAATCTCTGGTAGCTTAAGCATCTCTTCATAGGGCTAACATTATGCCCATAACAAGAGACCAAGAAACTGGAGGGAGAATTGTTAACTGCAGTCATTAATGACTTTATGTTGGTCAAATGGGCTTATAGTAAATACCAGTAGCCTCAGGAAGTTAAATACAGTTTTTTTCCCAGGTTTCCCCTGGGATGGAAAAAAAGATGGAGCACTCTTATAGCATGGTGAGTGGCTAGGAAAAGAATGCTGTCAAGGGACCAAATAGCACACGACTTCCACATAGGAAGGACTCAAGAAGGTGTCTAACTTCAGAAGAAAACCCACCAGATGTACACTTAAAGCTCCACTTGAGAAGTTACTATGACCACAGGTTCTTTCATATGACAGTGGTCTCCAAAAGAATCTTAGGGATCCTCTGCTGCCAGGAAAGGCACCTCCATCACTTTGTGAATCTATCTTCTAAAAAAACACCTTCATGTGCCAAAAAATTAGGACATGACTGATGCTGGCATTTTTGATAGGAAACCAAAACCCTCATCCACTTATGGTTTTATGAATCTAAATGTAAATATATCATTTCCATTTCATCTTATACAAAGTCATTTTCTTGGCCATCAAGAAGTCTCCAGACATTTGAGCCAACCATGTTTCATTCACATTAAGGTTGATTTGCTGAGAAGCTAGAAAAACCAAGGTGACTAACAGAAGAGAGTTTTTAGAGGAGACTAAGACCATAAAAATTCTCTCTCTTTATCCTAATCTCTACTTAAACTACAGAAAGTCTAGTTTTATAATCACCATTGAAATGAAGTAAACAACAATCCACTTTGTTTCTGTTTGGTCTTTTACTCAAGCAGTAAGACTGCATGCAGCATACTTGCATCAGGCTAAACTGATGCTAGCTAGGTTCAAGCCCCACAGTGATGTCCTAGAAGTACTAAACAGAGCTTAGTAACTGATAAAAGTCATCATTTTTCCAACAAGTATCCTCCTTTCCAATAATTTTAATGCTATAAATACAGCATGAAGAAAAGAACCCACTGAATCCATTCACTATCATATAGGTGATTAAGAGAAACACAGATTAAGCCCTTCTTAAGTCCTACAAATTTCCAATCTGAATTTTCTTCATCCTTTATAAAAATATAAAATTACTGACAAATGTCAGAGGCTAGTTTTAAAAAATTCTCTAAAATGAGCATCATTAATTAATATAAGTAAAGTCCCAAATAAGGTCCTTTAAACTTAAGGGACAAAAGTAGAAATGAGGGGGCTGGGAAGGTGGCTCAGTGGTAGAGCGCTTGCCTTGCATGCCTGAGGCCCTGGGTTCCATTCCTCAGCACCACATAAGCAAAAAGAAAAAAGCTGGAAGTGGCTCTGTGGCTCAAGTGGTAGAGCACTAACCTTGAGCTGAAGAGCTAAGGGACAGCGCCCAGGCCCAGAGTTCAGGCCCCATGACCTTACCAAAAAAGAAAAAAAAAAAAAAGTAGAAATGAGGAGAGGGACTACTATTTTGACTTCTTAGAAGATGAAAGGAAAACAAAACAGAAAAGGTCTGATAAGAGTCAACTAAAATCTTCATGGTTTCATATATCTTATGATCTCAACTTTGCCTATAAAACTGAATCCTAGATCAAGATGTATCTCACCTTGAATGTAGTAAAGCCCCTTACTAAGCCTAGGACAGTCAATCTTCATTCTAAACTACTCATTAGAGAGGAAAGGGATAGAGGAGTTTCCAGGAGCATGTTCTTAACATTTAACCCAAGAAAGACCAGGCTATCTGAGCAGGGCATGCAGGTGAAGGATCTGGAGTCCCCACAAGTAATAGTAGGCATAAACTCAGGGCTCCCCAATTCATGGTTTGTTCCCTTCCCATCCAGACAGGGTTCTCAAGGTATGTCTTGTTACAACAAAGGGTGGGAGATGGGCAGGTTGGAAGGCATGTATGTCCAAGGGTACACTGTACTCTAAATCAACTCATCTCATGAACAATTTCCATGATGGCAGCAACACTACTGTAAGACTAATCTCCAAGCTGGCTCTTGTGAGGGTGAGGGGCTTAATTGTGCCACAAATTAGAAATGGAAACAAGAATACTGCAGCTGCATGAAGCACCCAGCATCCTTATAAATTCTCAGTTGTGCTGACTAGCTCTGAAGTTGAATCTGAAGCCCAATTTGGATTTGCTACTGATTCTTTAAATTATGTGCCGAGGATTTTTATTAGTTCACCAGAAGAGAAACTAATTCCTCTACTCTATACCAGGGTCCTGTTCCTGTTATTTAAATACATCTTAAAGCCAACCTGATGGCAAGCAGACATTGCCTGGGACTGTGTGAGCCAAATGGCAGAGATGAGGATCCTTGAGGGAAATAACACATTCATCTTCAGCGATTTTAAACTATAAATCTAGAAGCCTATTCCTTCTCTCAAGAAATGATAAAAATGGGCCAGGCTGGGAAGGTGGCTCAGTGGTAGAACACTTGCCTTGCATGCTCAAGGCCCTGGGTTCGATTCCTCAGCACCACATAAGCAAAAAGAAAAAAGCCGGTAGTGGCGCTATGGCTCAAGTGGTAGAGTGCTAGCCTTGAGCTGAAGAGCTGAGGGACAGTGCCCAGGCCCAGAGTTCAGGCCCCACGAACGGACCCAAAAAAAAAAAAGAAAAAAAGAAATGATAAAAATGGGTAAGAGAGAGAGATAGGGCATCTCAGGATGACAAAGAAGTCTGGAATTCTAAAAGAATGGAAGATGAACTTGATGGTAAACTTTCTAGCTGAGTTGTTTCACAAGAGTCATTCACACACCTTAAGAAGATGAAATGTGCTTTTGTGTTTCCATGCTTCATTAGATGTTGGAAAGTTAAGAATATTTTTATGTGTAACCAAGTTAGATAGTGGTTTACTTAGCTAAGTTGAATTGGTACCAAGTTGACTGCTGCTTTCTTACTAAGAGAAAATTCCAGATCTCAGCTTGATAAAGTAGCTTCCTTCTGCACAAAGAACCTTAAACTTTAAGTATAGAGCTCTAAGGATCAAGCTTAAGTATTTTATTGATTGTAGACTCAAGATTAGTTAAGATTAGTTCAGATGCCATTTGAATCCTGCAGAATTGCATCTATAATGCAAAGTCTATGCTTACAGTCTCATGGGACAATCAGGAAGGTTAAATAGAAATTAGAGCTCTAAGCATACTACCAAGTACCCAGTGACACTCAAATGCTTACTTCTATCCAGGAATTGTTTTTTCCCCTACTCATAAAATCTTTGTGTAAAGTTAAGTTGGCTTGGTTTCTACTCTATAAGCACCGATTCATCCTTTTTACTTTGGCTTTAGGCCAGCACTTCCCAATCTTTCATTAATACGGCAATGTTTCACAGTAGCTGAGAATTTGCTACAAAGATATGTACTAACATGAGAAAATCCTTAGCCCTAAAAGCAATACAGTGAATCA